ATACACATCAACATGAACGGTGGCTCATCATGAGCTACCTGCACCTCACGATGAAGTAGATCGTTAAGACATCGAGTGCTGACTGTTGATCTCGATAACCTTATTGTATCTACAACAAGCTAAGATAGGAGGTATTAAGTTGTAGTAGTAGGTTTACCCATGCCTATGTTTCAGCATATACATAGCTATGTATGTGGCAGGATCCTCAGGTCTATCTCTCGCTGCCTCATTGATAGCTGGTGCCAATACAGGCAGTACTCTCTTCCTCAGATAGCTACGTGGAGTGAGTTGCATTATCGATTCCTGCCGGTGTACAGGGGCCTTCATGTCCACTTCTTTATCAATACGGAGCTGAGGTAGACTGGTCACTGAGATGCAACAGTGGCGAGTCCCCAAGGCAACCTGTGTAGTATGCCTAGCAATGGCCTCCTGGACTAGGTCTTTGAAATAGTCGGATTGGGTTGTGGCACGATAGGTGTCTACGGTAAGGCATATCCTCTCCTGCCCTCCGACTACTGGGGTATCTTTAACATCATCAATGACGATAACCATCATGAGTGCTCCTACTGGAGAGTACATCCATCACTGTAACCGATTCAGGGTCTGTCGTTATGTAGATGTGCTGTATATTGGTGTCAGCTGGATTGATGAGTACCTCTCGTCGTGACGGACGGGTATCACCTTGAAGGGCATCAACATGATGATTTGCTAAACATGACATGAGTACTACTGTCATCTGTTACGCTCATCATCGGTCTCTCGATTATGCTGATTACACGGCCCTCTGGTAGCATCTCGTGTACTAGACCAGCATATACCTCGGAATATCCCCTATACTCAGTGGGTACGATGCTTTGTGGTGCTGAATCGACCTCCGCAGTAGTTGACGACTCCTCAACCACCAACTGAGTAGGCCTAACGTCATTGTAGTAGTGGCCCTAGAATACCTCAGTAGGTTGATGCTTATTGCGCCGAGGGAAGGCGAGTAGTGGTCCGTTGTGCTCGTTGCCAGTAGGTATGGTTGTAATTAGGCCCATATGCGT